GCCAAATAAATGAAAACACATTTTATAATTAAAAAATAAGTTGGAAAACAGGCCAACTTTTTAGCTTTTAAATATATAGGATATTAGAACTTATCGTCGACTATACCCCACCCTGTCCATGCAGTCTAAGCCCCCATCATCTCTCCTCTAAAGGAATACAATAAGCTTACTGATTTCCTCACTTCTAGTCTTGCCTGGTAGCAATTCCATCTCCACATACCAGCTAGAGGTATCTTTTTAAAACACTTATCAGATCAAGTTATTTGCTCTGCTTAAATCTCTCAAGGGGATTTAAGGCAGCTAGTCTATATCACTGAGAATAAAATCCAAACTCCTGATAATGTATTAGCTAGCCTAGTGATCCAAGTCCACCCACCTATCCAGCCCCTCTGCCTGCTACTCTCCAGCAAGGCTTCCTTCATTTCCTTTAAGAAGCCAAGCTCATTTCCATTTTAGGGTCTTTGTTCCAACTTTGGGATATGGTTGTCCCTTCCTGATTCCTATCTAATCTTAAATGTTACCACCCTGAGAGACCTCTCCTGACTATCCAATGACAGTAGTGATCTAGTCACTCTCGTAACCGAGCAGTCTTCTTGACTTTCTCATACTTACCACTACCTGATATTTGTTTTGTTATCGCTTCTCTTTCCTACTAGAATGTAAGCCCTTTGAGAGCAGAGACCTTCTTGGTCAGGTTTATTACCATATCCAAAGAAACTCAGTAGGCAAACAATAAGAAAGTAAAAGTCACCCAGTCAAGTCCGACTGTTTGTGACCCCACAGACTGTAGCCCACCAGGCTCTTCTGTCCCTGGAATTCTCTAGGCAAGAATACTTGAGTAGGTTGTCATTTTATCCTCCACGGGATCTTCCCAACACAGGGATTGAACTCAAGTCTCCTGCATTGCAGGCCAATTCTTCACCATCTGAACCACCAGGGAAATCCAATAAGAAGGCAAACAGTATTTGCTGAATAAACAGATAACTATTCCTCTTAACGATGTCTAACTTGGCAACCTCTAATATACTTTTCATTTAACAACAACAAAAATTTCATTAGGTATATGAGGATTGTGGTAAAGAACTGTATTTATGGCATACTGTAATAAAACACATAGCAATTGTGTGTGTGTGAGTAGAAGTGTTAGTCTATGCAACTACTTACCTTCATTGATACTAATAATTAAGAGTCTCCTGTTGGTTAATAAATTACAAAGTTAATAAAAAATACTCAATGGTAGATTCTGAGCTCTCTATGCTGCTTTTAAAAACAACAAAAAAGAATTCATTTGAATCAGTACTAATGAGATGGATGAAACTGGAGCCCATTATACAGAGTGAAGTAAGCCAGAAAGATAAAGACAAACACAGTATACTGATGCATATATATGGAATTTAAAAAGATGGTAATGATAACCCTATATGCAAAACAGAAAAAGAGACACAGATGTACAGAACAAACTTTTGGACTCTGTGGGAGAAGGCTAGGGTGGGATGTTCTGAGAGAACAGCATTGAAACAAGTATACTATCAAGGGTGAAACAGATCACCAGCCCAGGTTGGATGCATGAGACAAGTGCTCAGGGCTGGTGCACTGGGAAGACCCAGAGGGATGGGATGGGGAGGGAGGCGGGAGGGGGGATCGGGATGGGGAACACATGTAAATCCATGGCTGATTCATGTCAATGTATGGCAAAAACCACTACAATACTGTAAAGTAATTAGCCTCCAACTAATAAAAATAAATGGAAAAAAAATTAAAAAAAAAATAAAAATAAAAACAACAAAAAAGACAGTTTGAAAGGATAATAAGTAATAGTTTAAAAATACTGTACCCATTTTCAGGTAAGGAATTTCACACTACTCGTCCTTAACCTAAGGTAAAGATGTTGGAAAGTACATATGGTCCAGGTCTGTCACCTTACCCAAAGTAGCACTTATCTTCAATAACTTGATGGCTGTTTTTGAACTCATAGGAAAGCTCTTTCACATAGATGACAGAATGCCTTTCGAAAGTGGTGCCCACTTCCCTTTTAGGAAATTGAGCAAGAGAGCACAGCAAGGTAACATTCTACATTTAGCAAGCATTTTTCTGGGAACTAAGATCGACTTTTCCAACTCTGTCATACTAAAAGAATGACAGTACAGTTTTTAACTTTCTAAGAAATGTTTTATCTATGTTGGTGATTCTCAAGGTGTGGTGCCTATAACCAGTAGCTTCAGCATCACCTGAGAATTTGTTAGAAGTGCAAATTCTCAGACCCTTACCCCAGATATATACTGTATCAGAAAATCTGAAGGGAATGCCCAGCAAACTCTTTAATAGTCCCTCTAGGTAACTCTGACGAACACTAAAGATGGAGGACCACTGGTACAGGTTACTTTCTTTTCCATAAATGCTAGTCAAAATAGTAAAAAGACCAGCTATTATAAGGAAGGAGACTTTGCCAGAATTTTCACATTCTGCAGGATACTGATAGACATTTATTTTAAAATTTAAGCATGCCATGAATACGATTATTTTTCCATGTTTTTTATCTTAGAAAACTATACAAAGGCATCAATACTTAAGGCATCAATCCCTCCTTCTCCTGGGATATGAATAACTTGCATGGTACAAGAATTATACTTTCATAGAGATTTCATAAATACATAAGCCAGAAAACAGAAAGCTACTTTCTGTTTTTCACACAAGTAGTAAGTCATTTCATATCCAGATTAGAGAACAGAACTAAGATGAGGAAACAATACTTTGTGGCTGCTTAGAGAAATCCCATGTAAAACTGAAAGTTACATTAAAAAAAATATGTAAATGTGGATATGATCTTGAGGGCTTATATGTATAGAAACTTCAATTCTCTTAGTAAATTCCTTCTCAAATACCTTCATTCATTTTAAACATAAGAAAAATAACTCTGCACTTTTTTATCAATCAGAGGGACAAGCCTACCTTTAGCCAGTCTGGATAACAGATTTAAAAGACAAGGATCTTTTTAAAAATTTAGGCTTAAAAACTCTAAATAATAGATTATCATTAAGATAATTCAGAGCAAAATATGATGGAAAGGGACTAACTAACCTTATTCAGATATAAAAACAAAACCAATATGAAAAAATATAGTCAATTAACTTAAGCTTCACATAGTTTTGTCTAACACATGATAATTTTTGCCCTCTCTTTTTCCCTTTCTCCTAGCAGTCATTCTTAAATGATTGAAAGTCAGCATTGTCCAGAGGAAAGCACATTAGATTGAGAATCACTCAAGAATCTGAGCACCAAGAATTCAGTTTGCTCCAACACAGAAATGTTCAGAGAATTTTAAGTGTAAAAAAAAAAAAAGACTTGAATTAGCAAGGCTTTTTTAAGTATGCATTTTATTAGAAGACAAAACTGACAGTAAAGTTCTTTGCCAGTTTGGACACAGTTATAACCAAAAGCAAGTAATGAATACTGAAAGGTAAATCATTTATACTTTTTCTCTGGTTCTTCAGAACCAATGGCAATATTTCTGGGATGACTAGCCAGGACTAGTCAATTAAAGTGAGCTACTCTTCCTAGGTAATACAAAAAATATAGGTCCCTCTAAAGCCCCAGAGACAGCACTGAGTTCCAAGGGTAATGTAGATTCTTGCTTTAAACAGCTATTTTTTCTAAACAGATGAATTATTAGATAGAATTTTATTGACCCTCAGAATAAAAGAAAAAGTGTTTTCTGAGATTTCCCATATATATAGCTAGCACTGAATTCAGAGGCTAGGTGATCCACTGGCTGTGAGCTGTCTCTTTGTGCCTAATAATTAGTAGCTCTTATTCTATGTGGGAATGCATCTGGGACATCTAACTAGTGTGTAGAAAATTTTAAACTGCATTATCAGAATAATCATGCCAGTACTTCATAACTGACAGCAGCTTTTACCCATGGGTTTCACTAAAGCATACAAGTATTAATTAAGTTTTATATGATTATATTTCCTTTAAAATAAATGTGCAGAAAGGATCAAGCTATCTTTATACTTCCCAAGATACTGGAAATACATAAATGATTCCCCAAAGAATAACTACTATTTTTTCTTTTATTTGATTTTGAGAATATTCCACATATATGACCAAAATATTTAAGATTTCATGAAAATAAAATGTCCGTTTCATATTCAGAGAGGAAACCAACCAATACAGGCCAACAGTTCTTAGCTCATGTTGTCCCTTACTCTGCAAAGTTACTTTAAATTATGTATTCCAGGAAGATGTATTTCACAGGTTGTAAGGTGCAAATTCTCTTTCCTATTATATCTGAAATAGGAATGTGTCTTAACAATCAATGGAGTCTTAAAACTACTATTGGCCATAAGCAGTCACAACTGTCAAGGATTACACACTTGTGAACATCAGAACACAAATTTCAAACTTGGAACATGAATGCCAGAGCATTCATGTTCCAAGTTTGAAATAGAAAATCTTAAATGCAGCTACAGAGCACTCCTTTAACTCCTCAGAACCAAAATTTCTGCGTTAAATACAACTAACTTTGCATATCAGTAATGCCAAGTTGGCTTAAAAGCCTAATATCACTGGCATTTAGCTCTTTTATGTATTATTTTAAGAAATGCTCCATCATAGTGCTCTTGACCACACAGAAAACAATACCAAGTGGAAAAACATGGCCCTCAGCAATGCAAAGTCATTTGGAATAATGTAAAAAGGTTTTAGGAATACTTAACCAATTGAGTTATATTCCCTTTTTTGTATGTATCAATTGGATATAGAATTAAAATCTTTCTTTAGATAAATTTCAATGATCTATTCTAAGGAGGAGGGGGAAAAGTCTAAGGTATAGGAAAATTAGTATAAAATATCTAGTATTAAAAAACTTAATACACAGTCTTATATAAGATAATATTGTCTTATAACTCATGAAATATAATAAAATCTACGGGAATTTGCAAAAAACAAAAACATTTTTGCTAAATACCACTAAGAAAATGATTCTTTTGTAGTATTACCTGCAAACCGCAGCAGCCTACAGCATTCATTATGGACGCATTGTGTATAACTCTGTAAGGAATCCCCAGTTTTGTTGCTCTCAGAATAAGAGCACTGTGTGTCGTAGCCCTGTAGTGAGAAAAGATCAGGTTGGGTTAAACTAACAAAGACTGACTTTTTAAGGCAGTCAATCTACAACATTTTATGAGCCCAAACGGTCAAGAAGAATCAGTCAAGGACACTGTTCTCTCTCAAATATTTCAAAGCACCTGCTTAAGCTGTCATCTGGGAATTCTGGCAAATTTACACAGGCCCTGTACAATGTTAAATTATGCCTTTAACACTCTTAAAGCAGCCTTGGCAGCTACAGAAAAAAGGGAACTTTTAACTTGCTCTTTTTATTCTGCTAATACCTGCAAAAGACATCTGTGGAATAGTACTCAGCAACTGAACTTGAGAAGCAATTCTCAAATATTTTGACCTCTAATCTCTTATAATTTCTGTGACAAAGTTTCAAATTATAGCACAACTAGTTAGTTAGGTAGTTCAGTCGCTCAGTCGTGTCCGACTCTTTGCGACCCCATGAATCGCAGCACGCCAGGCCTCCCTGTCCATCACCAACTCCTGGAGTTTACTCAAACTCATGCCCATCGAGTTGGTGATGCCATCCAGCCATCTCATCCTCTGTCGTCCCCTTCTCCTCCTGCCTCCAATCCCTCCCAGCATCAGGGTCTTTTCCAATGAGTCAACTTCGCATGAGATGGCCAAAGTATTGGAGTTTCAGCTTCAACATCAGTCTTTCCAATGAACACCCAGGACTGATCTCCTTTAGGATGGACTGGTTGGATCTCCTTGCAGTCCAAGGGACTCTCAAGAGTTCGCCAACACCACAGTTCAAAAGCATCAATTTTTCGGCGCTCAGCTTTCTTCACAGACCAACTCTCACATCCATACATGACCACTGGAAAAACCATAGCCTTGACTAGACGGACCTTTGCCGGCAAAGCAATGTCTCTTCTTTTTAATATGCTATCTAGGTTGGTCATAACTTTCCTTTCAAGGAGTAAGCGACTTTTAATTTCATGGCTGCAATCACCATCTGTAGTGATTTTGGAGTCCAAAAAGATAGTCTGACACTGCTTCCACTGTAACTTCTGCTCTATTTTGAAGGCTTTGTTTCTCAGGGTAAAGGGAGAATATATGTAAACATAAATATGGATACTGTGAAACCTAACCCCAAATCAATTTAGAACTGCATTATTAACAGCTTGTTTCCCCCTTGATGAAAACTCCAGGCCCAACTGGGGAAAGCGACATTAGCATGTTTGAGAAACTACATACAAACAAGCAGAACCTGTCAACTGGTCAACGCATACCAAGTAGCAAGATCAAGGGCTTTTACCCCATGAGGCAGTCAGAAACAGATTAACAAATGCCCACCAGGGAAGTCTGTTTTTAATCACACACATAAAATGAAACAACAGCTACTAAAAAAATAACCATTAATTTGACTTAGAATAAGCTTAAAAAAAATATTAATGCCTGTTGTAAAGAATGTTTTTAATATCCCTTCCAAACAGAATTTCACTAGTTAACACTAAGATAAGGGAAAATGAAATTAGTTACTTGGTGAGTTATTTAAATAGATGAGCAGAAAGAAAAACTGGTTTAGAATTACTCTCTTTTTCACAAGTTCATTTAAAATGACCAGATGTGGTTGGTATACTATGAAGATTTAATGACCTGGCAAAGTGATTTGATTTTGTGAAACTGCTATAAATGTGATTAAATGAGCTTCTCAGATTTCTGCTATGAAAAACTGTGATAAAACTGTTATTTTATTACCACAATTACCTAGATTATATTGCATTATATTGCTTCATTAAAAAAAAAGAAAAAAACTGTTATGAACTACATGTTTAACACCCTCATACCAGGCATTCCTCAGTCTGTGGCTCATGAAAATATTTCATTATAGTACACTGAGAAAGGCTCTGTGTGTGTGTGTGTGTGTGTGTGTGTGTATGTGTGTTTGTGGGTGCATGCATGCATATGTGCACTGCTGTGTGTAAAGACAAATTTATTACTATTTCTGGGCATGAGTGGCTCTAACCAAAATCAATTTGAATATATAAAGCTGAGATTGTTCATTTTACATTTTACTTTATAATAACATTAATTTGCAGAATGGAAACAATCAAATGACTCACATTAAGGTACACAGGAGACAGGCAAAGAGAGGCATATTTGTGTGTGTGTGTATGTCCATGTGTGCACGTGCATGACATGAAGGAAATGGCACACAACATAAAGATAAAAAATTATGTGTTCATTTATTATAAAATACATATAGTTGCGGAGCACATTAAAATACAGAATGGAATAAAAACAGAACTATCTTCAGAAAGAATCTTTTTAATGATGACCTTATTCAACTGCTCTTTACAGGGATAGAAAGCTTAACACTGTCATCTCTCACATGACTGAGTCAGATCTACTGATGCAGTATATTTAAAGTCATTTACATTCTTTATGTGATTAACTTCCACATTCCTTTAAACAACCTAGATAAAAGGGCAAAGATGAGAACTACACCAACTGACTTAACTGACTTTCAAGTACCTTCTTCATGAATTTAAGATTGCTGGAGATGGATGGTGCCAATAGATGCACAATGATGTGAATGTTGTTAATGCTACTGAACTGCACACTCAAAAATGGTTAAAATGATAAATTTTATAAATTTTTAAATATTTTAAATTTTTTAAAAATTACAAAAAATAATTCAAGACTGAGTAAACAATTTTCCCTTCTTTTTGAATTTTTTACTTGAATAAGTAGAAAGGGGCTTAAACTTAAACACAGTACATTTTTTTGTCATATATAAGGAAGCATTTCAGTGCCTTGTTACGTTTTGTATTCCATTCCTGGTTTATCTATTTAATTAATTTAAATTCAAATTTTTCAAGGCCCAATTAAAATTTATACCTTCCTTATCATCTTATCTCCAATGACTAATATATCTGAATAGTAATCCAGTGGGTAAATGAAAAACAACTACAGTACAGTAAATACCACATAAATATGAATGCAATGTTATATATGACTAGTCACTGACATAAGGAAAATTAATTCGTTAGAAGTTTTAAAAAAAAAGCATTTATTCCTGAATAAAATATGGGAAGATTCTTAGAAGAGGTGGCATCTAAGTTGGGTCTCAAAGAATCTATTATTTTACTAAATAGAAACTGGGAAGAATAGTCTGTTTTAAGGAAAAAGCATGAGAAAGAAACAGAAAATAAATAATGCGAAACATTTACAAAATAGCTTGGTTCTACCACAGTCAAAAAGAGGAGCAGCCAATGGAAAAAGTAGATAAAATGTTAAAAGGTTTAAGGCCATGAAGTCACTGAAGGATTCTGACTAGCACAGCAGTACTTTCTCTGGGCCTCAAGGTTTTTTCATTTACACTGAAATTTCCCTTTCTCCCCAACTCCCCCCATCCTACCTCACAATCTTCAACTGTTAAACCAGACCTTCCCCCAGCACCAACTCCTCCATAAAGTCTTTAAATTACACAGACGTTTCTATCCTTGTCTTCTTCTCAGCATTTCAGCAGTACATCAAAGCTGACCACTCTTTCTTTTCTAAAACCTTCTCTTTCCTTGGCTTCTGCTTTAGCACAACTCTAATGGTTTTCATCTCCCTCTGCTCTTGAGAGACCATGAAGTGCCCGTATCCTAGGGACTGACCCATCCTAGGTCTTCTTTTCCCGCTCTTATTCTTTCCTACAGTAATTCCACCCATTCCTCTGGCTTTAAACATCTAGATATGGATGGCTTTAAAAGTCATATAACCAGGACAGATTCTCCCCTGAGCTCCATTAGCAGGTATCATGAAAGTTAAAACATTTCCAGGATCAATTCCTGTTTCCCCCAGCCCTCTTCCCTGCTGGTTTTCATCATTTCAAAAAATGGCAGCATCAACTACTCAGTTACTAAAGTCAGAATACTTGAAGACTTACTTCTTTCCTATCCTCATCTATTACATACATCTGAGCATTTTTCCTTCTAAATTTTCCTCAATTTGTCTTTTTTCTCTCTTGCACCAGGGCTACTTTGCCTCCCTAAAGTCCGTTCACCCACAAATTTAGTGATCTTTTAAGAATGTCAATGAGATTGTGATTATTTGCTGCTTATTTTTATTATTTTATTATTAGTTTCAGCAGAGATAAAATTATTTTGTAAAATTGCTATAAAAGTGTCTAAATGTTTACTTTCATTTCTGTACTTATCTCATCATGGACTGGTAAGTTTATAGGCTGGTAACAGTCTGCAAATCTCACTTCAAGTAGCATTGGTTTCCTGGACTTTGTCAGTGACTGGATACCATTTGCAACCAAATATAAGAATGATACATAATCTCCAAAACCTCATATTGATATAAATTATTTTCTTTTTGACAGACACATGTACATGTAACTCCATTGCTTTGAAAAATATCCTTGGTGGTGGGCTCAAAGTGACTTAATTGTCTTTATGTTTCTTAAACCTGTGACATAAATTTTGGGTCACCAGCTGGAGAAAAAGAATTGTTCTATTTGGTTTGACATTAGAGATTGATGATGCTTGACAAGACAAGTACAAGCCCATCTTTGTAATGGGCAAGAACAGAGCTCCCAGTGGATATAAGAAATTGAAATCTGAGGCTTCATAAATGATAAATTCAAGGCAAGTAAAGTGATAGCAATATCACTAAATAGCATATGATTAAAACGGCGCGGGGGGGGGAGGAGTCTAAGACAAAGCAAGCAGAAGACACTTGCACTTACCTGCAAAATAAATGGCATGTATGACTCTTGATAATGCAATATACTTATTTAATAACAACATACTACTTTGTTATTTGATGTCCTAAGTGACTTTCTAAACAAAAGCAAAAGCAACAACATAAACTTGACACCTGATAACCAATGTAAGTGATATATGATGACATCTTTCCCAAGTAAATTTTCTTCATTAATCTCAAAGATAACCAAAGTTTAAACTATAAAATTTTAGACAGAGCCTACATAAACAGAGTCTCCTATCAGCACCTGGAAGACAAAGTTCTAAATATAATAATTCTTAATGATTAAAAAAGTAAATAAATTAAAAGTCAAAGTATCTGCTTTGACTTACCCAAATGGATCACCAACTACAAGGAATGCAACATCACTGATATCAGCATCCTTTAAAATATTATCTGCCTCCTGTTCCACTTCTTCTCTATCAGCGAGAATCAATTTTCTCTCATAAAACTCTTCCTATAGATTTAAATTCAATATAAAAATGAGACAGCAGGTGACCATTTCAACACACACACACAAACACACATACACACTCTCTCACACAAAACAATCTTTGTCTGTGGCTGGTGCAAATCCTGGCAACCATCCAAACACCGATCCCTGAATACAATTCATCAATGAGCTAGCACGCTGTATCATGTTGCAATTAAACTCTGTCTTTGGGGCTATCTTAATATCCCAAGAGGAGGTAGACCTCCTAACATCTGAGGCTTTTTGCATTTTAAATTAACCTCTAAATTTGGGTCTAACCAAACATTGTAGTTTAAATAGAAAATATGTATGCATGAGCCTTACTTGCTTCAGAAACACAATACTACAGAATAAATATATTAAACAATAATATATGTTTATTTGACTTATGTTTACCATACCTATATGGTAGTTGGGAAAATCTATGGGACCCTGGTGAAAATAAAAGATAATCTCAATGAGAAATAGTAGAAAATTATGATTCAGTTGTTTACAAAACCAGCAATCATTCCTACATAATTGCAGGAAAGACTAATTTAAAACTGTGCTTCTTAGTTTCTGGTAAAAAAAAAAAAAAGGCAGAGTTTCAGGAGAAAAAAAGAATGCTAAATATATAGGAAATTTCCATACAAACTGCTTGTGATCAAATCCCCAGAAGTTCAACTCCAAAGCATAAACCCAAGAGGCTGACCTTAACTAGAATGGCTGCATGAGAGTGAGCTACTGGTCATGAGGTAGTGGTTACAACCTATTATGCAAGATCACGAATCTTATAACTGATTTCCTGTGGAGTAATATATAACTCAAATATAGTAAAAGTGGATGCATAGATAAATAATACTATTTCTTACATGCTAATAAATTTATTTTAGTCATAAGGATTATATCATATGTCAAAAGTTATAAGATTGCTATAATGGAAAAGTGTCAGCTACTCAGTAATATTTGTCAAGCAAATGAACAAATCATGAAGCATTTGAAGATAAAGGCTAAATACTTCCAAGTGATAATTATTTCCTAATACTTAACTATAGTCAGTTTCTCAATTGTGAAAAAAAGATCCTTTCCTTTTCATTGCACATCTTCTTAGAGATAATGTTCCAGAAGTTCCCAATGGCAATGTTTTCATGGATGAAAAATGTTTTATTTTCCCTCTTACCACACATCTTTTCTTAATCACTCATTTTATATACCTTATTTTAATTTTGTGAGCCCAGTAAACTTAATAGTTGTAGAACATTTATAGTCACATATGTAAGAGAACACACATATGATTACTGAAAGCTGAAAGAAATGATGTTCTTTTCTGAACTTCTAAAATTCCTTAAAGATCAAGGAATCACATGTTACTAGCTTAATGCTGGCAGTAATCCAATCCAATATTTTATAAATGACTTAACAACAGAAAATCCATTCTCTCCTCAAGACTTCTATCATGTTCACTCCATATTTATCACTTATCCTAACTCAAGAAATATTTCATTATCTAATTGAGACAACAGAATATTAAAAAAAAATCCTCAAAGAGAAATACGCACTAATACCTCAATATAATCAAATGGCTGATCCTCTTTAAAAAGAATGCTTAAAAAAAGGAAGAAACTGCTAAAGCAGAAATAGACAGGTACTACTTTATTTTTAACATAACCACTTATTTATGTATTTGTTCATTCACTCATGTTAAAAATATTTCTTGTGTGCAACCTCCATGCCAAGCTCTATGCATTATGTTGGAAACAGTGTGGACATACCCAACCCCTGCCCTGAGGAGCACAATATCTAGTGTCATATTCTTTTCCATCATGGTTTATCAAAGAATATTGACTACAGTTCACTTACTGCAGTAGAGTAAGACCTTACTGTTTATCCATTTTCTATCCCAAACTCTCAAACCATGCTTCCCTCACTTTCCATCCCCCTTCCAGGTCCAGGTCTTGACCCTATAAGTAATAATTGTTCAAATGTTTTTTGGGGGAAAATACTTTAAAAATCATAGTAACCAAAGTTAACATTTAGCTAGCACTTAAATTTGCAAAGCAGTTTCAAATACACTAATAAATGATATAATCTTAACAGTCTTCCAACTGGTTATTATCTCCATTTGACAAATGAAGGAAATGAGATGTGGAGATGTTTGGAAACGTCTATTAACTCCTATTTCTGAACACTTTTGTGCCAGCCACTATGCTAAAATCCTGTAAGGCAGGCATTTCTGTCCTCTTTTTACAAAGTAAGAAACAAAAGTTAAAGGGCTTGTCTAAGGTCACATGTTAACATGTGACAGAACAAAGACATAAAACCAGGCACAGTTCTTTAAAACTACTGACTTGTTATTTGTCTATATTCTCTAAGAAGATTTTAAGTTCATTCTAAATGCCCCTGATCACTAATTAGAAAGGAATATTTCTATCATCTTGAGCTTGGAGACTGTGGCTCCATCCTATTAAATTGAAGCCAACAAATCGAAGCTGGTCATTAGACACAACTTTCATTTTAAAGGATGGCTAATTCAAGTAGCAGTCCTTCTTCAGGTTTTAAAGTAACCGTGAGACCTTCAGAATTCCCTGGGCTGTTAATCTGAGAGGCCAGAAGACTGGAAATTCTCTAGGTCACCTTTTTCTTTGGAAGACTTGATAGACCAGACAATCCTAAAATCTCCCTCCTCCTGTAATATATCCATCAGGTTTTGCATCTTAATCTACATTCTATTTGAAACTTGATGATGAACCTGAATCTGACCCCTCTTTAAAAATTTACTGAGCCTTTAACCAAACCCAGCTAAATGTATGATATGCTAGCAAATTCTATGGTTACCAAGTTCTTGGCTCACTCAACACATTCAAGTGTATGGGTATAAGCCTGACTGGGAACCGTCTATTTAAAGGTTAGATCTCTCTGGATATGACACAGACAGAAAGGTGATTACCATTCCCTATGGAAATACTTCAAAGGGGGAAGCCTTCAGTTTGGTCCCTGAATACATAACCAACTCATTAAGGCTCATTAGCACTCAACTCAGAAAGGATTTCTTGGCTATCTCATGAAATAAGGGATTCTGACGACTATCCCCAGGAGTGCAAAATAACTTTCCTTTCCTATTTAATGGAGAAAGCTACCCAATTAGACTTGTAAGAAAAAGCACCTTTTCATTTTCCAAGTCACATGGTTAATGTATGATTGCCATGTGATGTACTCAGATTCTTCATGAGAAGGGGATGTGTTTTAAAGGGTTTCAACCAGGTGACCTGAAAAATTCGATTCAGCTTAGTGTAAAAAAAAAAAAAAAAAAATCAGCTGTTAAATATCCGTCTTCCCAGGAGGCTGGAAAGCCTTAAGCACTTACCAGAACTTCTTTCCCTACAGTCAGGACTGACGTATAGGCTTCCAGATACACTCGACTGCAGCGTCTGACAACTTCCAGGCCCTTGACTGTGATGTCCTTAGCATCTCCCAGGCCCAAACCAATCATATAAAGCATCTCAAATAACAGAAGGAGGGTGACTGCAGGACGAAATGAATATGAAAATCAAGTGTCAGCTACACCGAAGATACCTAAAATCTAGTAATGAAAAAGGAAACCAAAATAACACGAGGAGGGACGGCATGTCAGCGGGAGATTTAAGAACTTCCCGCCTTATAAATAAGGACTGGAGTGTTTTTAAATAGCCCCACCCGCTTTCCCTCTTATTACACAACGCTAGGAGCAGACAATTACCAGCTGAGAAAACGACAGTTGAATTCCTGTCCTCCCCAAATTCCTATCTGCCTCCGTTCCAGAAGTAGCTGCCCAAGCGGAGGATTTACCGGGAGAAAGGAGCCACACCGCCGGCCTCACCTACGATGCCGCAAAGCGGCTCCGCTTTACGGCATTTCACGACTAGCTGGAAGCGGTGACTTCTGTAGGCTCCGGGTTGGGGCACCCGCACGTCCCACCGCCTTTAAGGTTGACCCGCAGGGTGCTGGGGCTGGGAGGCGAAAGTTCACCCGGTCAGGGGAGTCCGACCAGTCTCCCAGCATGGCCTTTGGGAAGGGACGAGGCCTGCCCACGATCCCCTAATTTTATAAACATCCCAGCCTGAAACCAGGTAAGTGCAAGAGCTTTTCGCCAGCGAAGAAAGCCAGCCGCGAGGTTGCACCAAGGAGCCCCACGCCTTCCTTCTCTCCTCCAGAAACACCAGAGGGTGGCGGGTGGAAGGGTGTTTTCCTAGTCTGCCCCGAGATAGCCCAAATGCACACATTCCCATTCTCTCCTTTTCATTCGGCTGTAATTTAACCAGCTGCTTTCCTGTCGAGCTGTCATTTTGGCAAAACTGGTGATGAATGTTGTTTCTAATTTCCCAGCGGGGCCATGATTCCTCGGGTTTGTCCCTGAAACCTTATTCTGCAGTGCCCCAAAGGGTGTGTGACTGGAATCTGCCTCAGTCAGCGTCAGAGTCGGGAAGCCCAAAACCCCCCTGTGCCCCGAGAAGTGACCTTTAAGAATGCTCACGGATTTCAGACCTCGCCACAACGCTTCCACAGGGGGAATTCTTAAAGTGGTTGATTAAATGTAGTTCCAATGCCGAGATCATTTGTTATGACTGAATATGGTCTTCCTAAGGTCACTAATGACCTCATCCAAGTTAAAAAGACAAATTTCCATTGCATATCTCAGCAGGCAATGTTGATTATTCATAATTTTCATTGTGCTTCTCTGGCAATGCTTTTTTGCTCAATTCTGCGTCCTTTAGCCTTGGCTATCTTTTCTCTCTGAATTTCATCCAGGCTTTGGCCTTCTAATTCTGTATATCTTAATGATTGGTTCTATCCACTGTCACTGTTAGATTCATTCCTCATACAATAAACAAACGTAAAATCACTCATAGATGTAAGTGGAAAACTTCAAATTTCCAAGGGAAAACAGGAGAAAAAAATTTGTGACTTACTTAGGCAAAGATTTCTTAGGTGCAACACTAAAAGTATGATAGAGAAAAGAAAAAAATAAATTGTATTTCAGCAAAATAAAAACAATGGTCTTCAGAAAACATTGAAGTCACACATTGGGAGGAAATATTTTCAAAGCATATATCCAATAAAGGACTTATATTGAGAATATACAAAGAACTCTCAGAACACAATAGTAAGAAAACAGTTTTTAAAATGGGGAAAAATTAAATATGGACACATCCCCAAAGAAGTTACATGAGTAGCAAATACACATTTGAAAAGATGCCAAACATCATTAGACATTAGGGAAATTATTAAAAATCATTCCTACTACTGCACACCTATATGGCTACATTAAGAAACAAACAAAATCCTTAATATTCATTACCATGATTTCAGATTATCTCTTATGTTTTGCAGACTCAAATTTTCTCTCATTCAGACCTCTTTCTCAGCATCCTGTATCTAACTTTTTTCTGGAAATCATCTGAGTAACCCAGAGGCATATCAAATCTAACACATCCAAAGCTGAATCCATCAGCTTTCAACTTGGCTTTTCCTTCTATATTGTCTGCTTTGATTGGAAGACATTGTCATCTGTAGACTCCTATCGAAGCCAGACACTTGGAAGTCACCTCACATTTTAATCTGACAATCTGCTGGTCTTTCTCAATAGAAACCATGGCTACCATCACAATCTTGATTCAGGTCCTCATTATGCCACTCCTGCATCTGGTCACCATGTCTCCTTCACATTCATCCTTCTCTCAGGAGCCAAGGAGATCTCGCTAAGATACAATCTGAAAATGTCACTCCCCTTCTAAATCCTTTTGAGGCCAAGAGAAAGTCTAGCCTCCTTAACATGTCCCACAAGATCAACCATGATGTGACAGTTGTCTACCTCTATAGCTTCATCTGTCTCCGCTACTTACCATGAGCTTTTTCTCTAGCTGTCTAGTTCTGTGCCAACAACATGCTGTTCTGTGCCTCTCTGCCTTTAGTCAGGCGGCCACCTCAGCGTGGAATACCCTAGGCCATTTTCTCCTGCCTAAATCCCTGCTACACATTCTTTAAGACAAAATCAAAGAAGTAGTCCCAGAGATCCTGAAACTAGGTTTAGGTATCTCCTTTTTGTTACAGTAACACTGCTTATATATACTTGCTGGTCAATTTAGGTGTTTTGTAGTTGTGTATCTTCTTTATCAAACCATAAATTTCATGAAATCAGGGGCTATATTTTATTTATATTCTCATCCCTAAGGCATATCACAGTGTCTGGTACATGGTAGGTATTCAATAAATGTTTGTTAAATAGATCATTATTCACTATGAGCTGAGCAATTTATTTGTTATGATGATTTCTTTTTCAGTCTTTATGAAATGCAGAGAGTGATATTTTGATGATGGTCAAAAATCATTGGTGAAATTATCAAACATAAACATGCCTTGCTTATGATACTTTAGGAAGTCATTTATGTTGAAAGGCTCATGACATGTCATATATACTTTATATGGTCACTATTGAGTAGGTAAATTTTCCAATGTACTGATCATTTTCCAGCATGTTTCAGTTTTCAGATTTTCCTTGAGTGATTTCAGATAGCTTCACAGGGAAAGAACATTGCCATAAAGAATAATTAGTAATCCAAAGGAAGGTATACTTTATCTCTTTTCGGTAAATCTATATTGTAAATGAAGTTATTCTGAGTTGGCAAAGAAATACTGTATTTTGAAATACAGAAGTAATGTCATGTTTTACTTTTCAAAATTTGGTCAAATGAACTTATTTTCACTATAGAATTCTTAAACACACCTTTCTGCCTGTCTTCATTTCTCAATAGGAGTGTGGATTTGGAGGACTTTTCTGGAGGTAGATAAAGTAAACATGTTATGGCAGTCTTTTTTCTTCCCCACCTCAGCAAATATAAGCAGAAAAAAACTGGTGTCATCTTTTTTTTTTTTTGCAGAATGTTTCTGTGTGAATTAATTTCTCTCCTGCCATTTAAAAGGTTTCAAGTATGACTGCATTTCCATCAACAATTTATCATTAAAAGTTTCAAATATATAGAAAAATTAAAACAATTTGACAGTAAATATCCACATAGCCACCTCCTAGGTTTTACAGTTTTAACATTTTGCTTTATGTGTTCAATCACATATTTATCCATTCACTTAGCCGTCAACTTATGTTATTATTTTGTTGCATTTCTACAGGAGTTACATAAGTACACATGTGATTGCATTTTACTGCTCTTCTGTCTCTCTGGCCTCACGTCATGGTGTTCTCCACACCACCACCCACAGATTGTTTGTTCCTGGCTCCACTTCCTTGAAGTCTTTGCCCAAAATTTACCTCCTCAGTGAGGCCTAACCTGTGTAAAACTGACAGTTTTAGTCACTTCACCTGCTGTTTCCCCCCAGAGCACATATTTACCTTCTAAGATAACTGCATAATTTACTAATTTATTATGTTTATTGTCCATGCCATCCTAGAATATAAGCACCAGAAAGTCAAGAATTTGTTGTTCCATTTGGTTTACTAATGTGAAAGAAACATCTCGAACAGTGTTTGGCACGTGTGCTCAGTAGATGCATGTTGAATGAATGAGTCCACATCTACATATAGTAATATTATTATAAATACATTATTTGTAAGGGAAGAATTACACAGAGAGAAGTTTGCATGATGATTAGGAACTCAGATTTTGAAATCCTTCAGACCTTGGTTTAAATTTAGGTGTTTCTGCTCAATAGTGTTAATGAACCGAACTTGGGTCTGCTTTCCTGTGCACAGTAAAGCCAATTTACTGACACTGAGTTGTGGTGAAGGAAAATACAGCATTTATTGCAGGGCACCATGCAAGGGGAGTGGGTAGCTCATGTTCAAAAGACCCAAACTCCCCAGTGGCTTTCGGGTAAGTGTTTGTTGTTTTTTTAAATTAATTTTATTGGCATTTATATAGGTGGTTAGGAAAGGGGGTCTTAAAGGCATTGTAAGGGAGGAGGCTGCAAGGTATGTGATCAGCTTATGCATAGTTCTCAGATTGGTTGACATCAAGGTGAAGTTTCAAGCATCATCAGCCTTTGGGTCTCAACAGGTCTAGGGTCTGTGTTCTTGTGGGCATTGTTTTCATCTGGTGGGGGTCTGCATCCTCTAAAGACAACTTAGGAATGTGTGTCAGGCCTTTATATCTTTTAGAGAACTGGGAGATCAGTGATTCTGCCATGGGAAAGAATCTATAGTAACTGATTACTGGTAACAATCTGTAGTCTAAATTGTTACCAGTTTCCCAACCCAACTTCTATACTTTGCTTCTGTACCTTCACATTTCCTAATCATTAACTCTTGAGCCAGTCTTTTGAGACTCAAGGGAAACTGGTTGTGTGTTAGTCACTCAGTTGTGTCCTACTCTTTGCAACCCCATAGACCAGCCCACCAGGCTCCTCTGTCCATGGAATTCTCCAGGCAAGAATACTGGAGTGGTTTGTCATTCCTTTCTCCAGGGATCTTCCTGACCCAGGGATCGAACCCAGGTCTCCCACATCTCAGGC